AAAAAAGATGGGGCCCCCCCCCGCCCCCCCCCCCCCCCCCCCCCCCCCCCCGGGGGGCGATTCAAACGGGGCCCCCCCCCCCCCCCCCCGCGCGCGCGCGCCTCGCGCCGAGAGACTCAGAGAGACGGCTACTGCGTTGGGTCGTCATCAGTCGGCCGGATAACTCAGTCGGTGCTGCAGCGGCCGCATTTCGTTTTGCTTTGACGGACAGGATACGATCCGCGGAGTGCTAGGTACTGCTGGTGCATTCAGAGGCGGATCACAAAATTCAAAAATTGGCGGCTAATCGGGGAAATCGCGGTGGTCATGGTTTCATGCGTAAAAGCAGCAGGAAATATCGATGCAGCCAAGCAGCTCACGCCCAACAGCCCGTTCTCACACGTTTTACTCTCACAGGACCACCGGGGCCCAACAGAAAAATGCGAGTTCTAACTGCACAAAGGTAAAAGTGCGGATAATAAATCACCGCATCTCTCACTCCTCTCTCGTAGGTGCATAAAAACAGAACATCCATCATAAAGAGGCGGATCTTTGAATTTGCGTGCTTGTAGCAGAACATGCACATCGCGCGCCGGGCTGTGGCGTCGGACGTGCCGCCTCTCCCCTTGAACAGCACAGGCATGTGCCCTTCAGACGATCTAGCTCGCCGGAACATGCCCCAAGATGCAACACGGATCGTGCTTAGGGGAGGATCAACTCAACCTCCACCACGACTCCTTTCGAAAAATCAAGTCGGCTTGCAAACAATCGACATGAGCTACATTGGTCTGGGTAAGGGAGCACGTGTTGCGCGATTTCGAAGAAGGCCGCCCCTCTTGTCTTCATGCTGACCATTTTGAATGAGGTCACGGCCCAGACGCGTCCCGAAATCACTAAAGGAGAGCGTTCTGCGATGCTTGCTCGCATGTGATGAGGGGGGGGGGGGCTGTGGGTAACCTCTCCACACACTCCGGGTTCTCTACAACAGTACGAGAGGCTACACGATTGCTTCGATTTTCCCACTGCCATTGATCCGCGCACTTACTTCTTCCCCGACCCGATCCCATTTCGCATAGTTGAGGTCCATCTGTCCTCGCTCTGTGCTGTGTCCGCAGTCGCAACTCTCCGCTGGCTCTGTGCTGCGCCAGACGCACATTCACCCTGGCATCAGCAGCCCCTAATCATAAACGCCGCGCGAACTATAGGTGCAACTCCGCTGAACGCAATCTCGCCGCACTGCGACTGCCTCTCTCTCGCTGCTCTCATCGAGCAAGGACTGCCGTCCACTGGACACCTGCAGTACTTCCGTCGCTAATATTGCATCCACGCTTGGCGTGGGCACGTGCTGCTGCTGTGTGAACACGGACGGGAGTGATCCAGCAGGAGGAAGATCTCCGAAATTCTCGTAGATCAGACCGAGCATCCCTAGGCGACACGAGCCTTTTGCGGAGCTATGGCTGCTACTCCATCGTACGCGTTACGAGGAACCGTCGGGGTGGTGATCGCGCATCCAGACGACGAGAGCATGTTCTTCGCTCCGACGCTAACAACTTTGGGGCGTCGCGGGCAGCGGGCGGCGGTGCTGTGCTTGTCCTCAGGTAGGCAAGGCCTCTGTTGTTATACCAGAGATACCTCTCTGGCATCTGTAGTATCCCTGATGGTAGGTGTTGTTATGAAGTCTGTGGTTCCCAAATTCTTGTATTGCTTAATGACTTATGATATGCTCTGCAGAATGATGTGCTCCGCAGAATGATGTGCTCTGCAGAATGATGTGCTCTGCAGAATTTCACTTTCAGCATGAAACGTTGTTGATTTGCCGAGGATTGAGGCGGTGTGCTCTACTACTGTAAAAAGGAGTAGTCAAAAGGGATCTGAGAGACGTTTATGAGATGCTTCCGTCTGACGCGCCCACCTGCTTGCGTGTTGAACATATCGCCACCTAGAGCTGATTCATAGATCTGCAAGTAAAACTTCCATAGCACATCCGTGGCGCTGCTCACCCCAAGGGACTCTCTTCGCGTGCTGCCGATGCCTCGTCTTTCTCCCAACGCAATCATCAGGTGATTTCTACGGGCTTGGTCAAACGCGCAAGCGCGAGCTCGTGAAAGCGTGCGGCGTGCTCGGCGTAGAGGAGGTGAGCGCAGGGGCGGATACCTTACCTTTCGACTTGAGCAGGAAGCTGCCGCATTCCGCGCTCTCAGAAGAAGGGAGGCGAACGGTTTGTGTACAACGGTTTTCGGGTCTCTCTCGTGTCAAGCATAACTAACTGTGCCGGCGTGTTGGCGATTCCAGGAACAGGCGCGCTTTCTGAGTGCATTTACCAAAAGACACGACAAGGTGTCGTGCCGTCTAGCAAGCAATCCTGAAACGTATTTCTCTGCGACGCTTAATCCTGCCACATGTGCGGCTCAACGGTTTGTCTTCCCCCTCTCCTTGTCTCGCGTGTTGAAGGACGACGTCGTGGTCATCGAACACCCCAAGCTCCAGGATGGGAGCACGGAGGCCTGGCCTGCAGACGTGGTGTCCTCTCACGTGCACGACTTCGTGCAGAAGTTTGGAATCCAAACCGTGAGAGATGCGCGTTTCTTGGTGCACCTATACAAGGCTTGTGATGAGAGGGTTGATAGATTTGTCGTATCGAAACTTAAGAAAGGACCATTCGGTGGCGACGTTTTCCTTCTTGGCAACCGCGAAAGTACAGAAAACAACCGTGCGGATTTTCGTCGTCGACACGCCCCTGCGTGCCCTCTTGTCACCAACAAAGCTCGTTGTTTTTTCCTCTCTGGCCGCGTGGTCGCCTCGCCTGACGTCCCAAGTGAATGAGGGGAGCTCAACACATATTTCCCGCTTGCGCTGGCTCTAGCGTCTGTTGACCGCTGCTGTTCGGCGACGTGTGCCCGACGTACAGAAACGCGTTCCTTGTCAGAGTTACAGAAGGTTTCATGCTCAAGATATGACAGTGTGCGTACAAGTGTCGACCTCCAAGGATAATGATCACGTCCGCCCCCACGAACTCAAGGCGACCCACCTGATCCAAAACTGGTTCCCATGCGGTCCGCATTTTGTTTTTTTTTGCACCTTTCAGATTTTGACGTTCGACGAGGGGGGCGTTTCCGGGCACTCTGACCACACCGCTGTCAACCGTGGCGTTGCGTTGTTTCTCCGGACACGAGCTGTGACCAGACATACAGCTAGCATCGCCGAGGGTAGTGGTAGCAGCAGCAGCAGCAGTACTTTAGATGCATTCGCGCTGGTGACCACGGGCATCCTGCGCAAGTACTCGGGCATGCTTGACATGCCTTGGTCGCTGGCGACATCTTACGGGCCGCCCCTTGGGGCGTTTTTCTCTAGCTGCAGCGCAAGGATAGCCTGGGCGGCGATGGCAGCACACCACAGCCAGTTCGTTTGGTACCGAAGGCTGTTCGTGATCTTTTCACGTTACGCCTACGTGAACACGTTTATACGCATGCATGTACCGCCGCCGCCGCTGCCGCCACCACCGCACCGATGATTGGAGGTGGGTTGGCTAGTCCAATTCGGCCTGTTGCAGAATGAATTTCAACCCGCTGGGGCGGAGGGTAAATTACCTAGAATTAACTGTGTATTTGGGATCACTGTACGCGGAACGATGTGGTTACTACTGCCGTATTGGATCTTCAATAGAGTGAGCGTCAGCTGGCACGCTGTCGTGCGATGGTCCTGCACCAAACAGATGGCTGTAGAGGCAGATTCCTTCACCCCGGCAAGCCATCGAGGGCGCATTTTTCTGTTTGCATTGCGCACCAAACGGTGCCGGGGCTTTATCGAAGCACCCCCCAAGGCGCCGAAGGCGTTCCAGCGTGTCGATATTCACGGCACGTTGTGTAGACAGTCTTGCTTTTGGGAACATGACCAAACCTCCGTTATACGTACAGTGGAGAACCGGCCGGCCGCTTGACACGAAAATACGAAGCTTCGCTGCTTTAGCTGTGCTTGCACCCGCTCAAAACTATGTCGCACAAAGGAGTCTCAACTACACATCCAGCTGAGCGGAGCACGTTACGGGGCCTCGAACAATAACCGCGATCTCAAATATGCCGCGACCTCGCGAAAAGTGGTGCTCCCACAACGTCCCAACCAACTCCCGAGGTTGCCAGACTACAGATTGCTCTCCGCATAGTCAAGCCCAGAAAAGCCAAAGGATACCGATATTTGTTCTTCTAAACCTACCTCGGGGGGAATCACAAGAGAAGAGCCTTCAACGGGAAAAAAAATCAAGCATGTCACTTAAGAAGAGGAATCGAATATAGACAAGCGGTAGAACAGGGTTTCGGGCTACAACATCATCCTCGAAGACCCCACGGTATGCCAGCCAGTCGATTTTTCTATCGCCATAAAACATAGACTAAATTAGAAACTGCTGGAAAGTTGACAACCCAAGTAGACGACGGCCGACCGTTATGTCGATCTAGGGCATGCGGCAAACCTCCTAAAACAAATCATCTTCAATCGCCTTCAAAAACCCCACTGTATCCGGCGAGTTGATTGATCTAGGTCACAACAATAACAAGTTTGATAGAGCACGGAGAGGTGACAAGCCTCCTCACCCACACCGGTCTTTGCTAGCGCCAAAACAAACTCATGCGTGCTCGCATGGCAAGACACTCTGGACCTTCTACATGCACTTAAAACACAAACTCTTCTCCGTTCCGCACCAATTTGGGTATGGAGAAAGACCGTACCTTACACAACTCAGCCATGCTCTGCAGCCACATTGTTAGAGATGACGCGGGTTGGAAACGTCATGTACAAGAAAACCAAGAACATCGCCCACAGTCGCAGGGCAGCCACAAACCAGCCCCGCTGATCCATTGGTCCAAGCAGGCAGAGGGTAGTGCCAAAAACCAGAAGATGTTACCCCACCCGTTCCGGTATGCTCGAATGCAAACCTCATAGCCCACCGCAGGAACCACTGAGCATAAGACACAAGCAATGGCGCGTGCCACTGCAGGCTGTATGCACTTCAATAGCGCATGCGTATGGTTCTGTACACCGAGGAGAACTCCTATCACTTCCTCTGTGCAGGCTAAGATGTTGTGGGTGCAACTACCTCCACGCCTTTTGCGCCCTACTACAGTATGCACAGGCAATAACAAAGACCGGGGAACGGGGAAAGGGTGTGACACGCCGGATGCGCTCGCACCCCTGATTCGTGATATTCCATCGCCGTCCCTACGTGTCATCTGCCTCAATAGTTCCTTCATCATAGATGGCATGATACCGACCATCCACGTTTCAGCGGTGGGGTCCGTCCTTCCTTCACCGGTATGTCCTGCCCTTTAACAACGGGGGGGGGTTGGAGAGGAAATATCCGCAAGGTGGGCGTCTTTCCGTGTGCACCTCTCTGCATTGACAGGTAGGATTAGCCCACCACCACCCATTCCTGGCGGTCCATCCCCGGATTGTTCGAATGGTGCACCCCACCAGTGCTTGTACCGGTCCACAAAACGTTCCGGATCGAGCACCCAGCGAGCCAGTTGAACAGGCGTCCTCCTTGCTGGTCGGGGCAACGGTAGCCGAGCCCCGCGCCGCCGAATATGCACTCGCTGCAGCTACCGTAGAAGCACCCGACAGAGTTGCGGACCCAGTCTTGCCTCTCAGGGCTCGTCAATAGGTAGGGACCATTGTATTTGGTCTCCTTCCTCACCCAACAGACGAAACACAGTGGGGACAGAGGGATCATGGAGAACAATACGCTTAGAGTGATTGCCGACCAAAACCCGACATACATAGATTGGAATCCAGTTGTCGTCGTACAATGGCCTCGACAACCCCAAAGCCGGCCACCATGAGGTAGTTCGCTCTGATGTCCGGCGTAGGCTTCGCGGTCGTCGACTTTTTCCGTCCCAACCCGAACATACGTTTCCACACAAACGCAAGCAACTTGAAGTTGATCTCTTGCTCGAGTCTGTTCGCGTAGAGACCGGCCAGGAGAAAGAAGCCGGCACCAGTTGAGCTTCCTCTAAGATCCCAACAACTACAAAGTCACATTTGTCGTGTACGTACTTTTGACTCGCAATGTCGCTTGAGGGACGCAGTCTCACTCTCTCTGTTCCATCGCAGTCTGCCACCACCTCTTGCTTTCTCAATTTCAACAAACCCTTTCGAACCGACGGAGCTAAACGAGCGCACATTTTGCGAACGGCATCCCTAATGAGCATGCTTCCACCACTTCGCTCTATTTGCAAGGGCTTCCAACGCCGCTTCCACCTCCATGCGCCGAGGTGACCGCCATTCCGCCCCCTTACAGAAAAAGGCGAAGCGAATTACAAGATATGCCAATCACGGCCGTTTCTTCGACAGAAGGATTAATCTATCGACGTCACCCGTCTCGGCTAACTATTCACCGTCCCGTTCCAACCCACGGTGTTGTCTGGACACCTTTCGACTATCGACATTCCTGAAGGAGGCGTCCCTCCACCCCCTTCCGTTGCTGCTATGCATTCAACCTGCCCACTCCGGGTCGATTCATCGTCGCCTCCGGTCGCAAACCATCCCAGCGCCACATCCACCGGAGCAGAAGATTCCGGCGGGCAAAAGACGCTCCCCGACCCACACTCTTTCTCGCGCGCGCTGGTGGACTCCTCTGGGCAGTAGTAACCCGCTTCGCACGCGCCTGCGCACGCGGCATCTCCCATGCCTTCAACGCCGTACCGGCCCGCCGGGCACGCGATGCCTATTACTTCTTTGCCTGTCGATATGGATGGCGACGTTCCTGATGGGCAGTATCTGCCGGCAGGGCAAGGCCCAGAGCATGCAGACGATGAGAGACCGGGGAGGGAGCCGAACGTCCCCGGGGGGCACGGGAATAACACGCCTTCCTGACAATAGCTCCCCGCGGGACAGGTTTCCTGTTGGAGAGGACACCCGCCCAAACACACAGAGGCAGAAGGGGGGTACGTTTCTTTCATGTTCGTCGAAATTCATACTCTAGCATGCATAATAGGCGTCTCTCTGGGTGTGTCCCTTAATTACAGTAGGAACAATTAACGTGAGCATGTATCCTGTCCTGGTGTTGCTTTCGTCTTTTCCGTGGGACGGGTTTGAGTTGCATGGGATTGTTGTGATACGCCACCAACGAAGCCGGGTGAGGAAATTTATGTTTTTGGGATCGATGGATCGATCTGTCTATGGTGGGGGGTCCAGAACACTAGGTAGCGTAGCCCCCGAGCACGCCAAGATACACAGCAAGGACGCTTTGGCGCGTTCGTTGGAAAATTGCGTTCTTGAGGGACCTATATCTACAGCCAAACCTACATCTCGAATCCTATAAAATCAAGGACCAATCGACGAAACCACGCCACTGCCGTCCACCCCCTTCCCCTACGCCGAAAAGCACAGCCGCAACGGATGTCCACCGAATAGACCGATAAAAGGTTAGGTCCACGCTACCAACGATGCTGTGCCGAAGCGCTGTGCGGGGACCACTCATCACCTGCGCGACCCGTCGATCAGGCGGTCCCCCAACAGTATAGTTCCCAGCCCCGACCTCCGAGGGGGAACTGGATGCCTCCGGGCAAAACCACCCGGGGCCCCCGCACCTCTCGCCAAGGCTGGCTTCAGCCGCCCCCGAGTAGTACCCGGCCAAGCTAGGCCCGGAGCACGAGGGGGAGGCGAGGCCATGGGACGACCCAACAGTCCCGGGGGGGCAGGGGAGACGAGCGCCGGCGACGCAATAGTGTCCGGGTTCGCATTCAGCTTGGGCCGTGCGGGTCTGCACCATGCAGCAGTGCGGCGTCGGTGGGGTGGGGAGAAAGATGGGGCGTGGCTGAGCGACGCATGGCGATGAATACTTCCATGTTTGCGCCCCCGTATTCTTTGACTACTTGAATGCGAGTCTTTAGAGTACGACACTCTCCGTTTTCGCAACAAACGTGGACAGAGAGATTTACTATGCCATAGTTTGTGTTTAAGAATGAAACCGACTAGAGTGAGTGTTGACTCTTGTTGGTCAGAAAGATACACTTCACGGGCCATCTAAACCGATACTACACCTGTAGGGGTAGACCCCAAACCTGCTAAAAGCGCGTTGAATGCCCCCCTCTCACCAGTTGTCCTGCCAACGACCAATTGTCACCCGAGCCCCCGTCGGTTGAGCCTTCGACATAGGTGTAGTATCCAACACCCACTGTCGTAGGAAACCCGGAACCGCGGGGGCAGTAGTACTCTCCGGACCCACACTGGTGAGCTCGAGCGGAAGTGCTGCCGGGGGGGCAGAAGTAGCCAGGGTCGCACAGAGAGGCTAGGCACGGCGCGTCGTCTTCTCTCGCACACACACCTTCCTGCTTGGAGTGCAGAGAAGACATGGAAGGAAGGGAGTCGCGCGTTTGTTGCGTTCCTTTCTTCGTTTGGTCGTTGACCACGCACGGTTTTGCGAAGCGATACGCAGGGTGGGGAGTGGGAGGGCTGGTGCGTGGCTCGCGTCCGCACGCGCTCAAGTGCTCGAAGACGCTTTTCAGACAACGAAAAACTCAACCTGTTTGTGGTCCAAGGAGGTGCCTGCTTTGTTGCAAAGGACTGAGACATTGTCACGAGAGACGATGGTTGCTGTGGGAGCGAAATGCAACACCGGAGGTGTGGTGGATTTAGAGGTTCGTAAAATGAAGAAAATTCCGAACTCTGGCTTCAACCATCCGACTACGAGAAGCCAGCAGTCCAACTGCAGCCAGCACATGTCCCTTTTGATCTGGAGCGCCATGGACGAACGCTGGCAACGTTTGGAGATTGCACAGGCGCTTGAAAGATTAAGCTGCAGCAGCAGTAGCGTGACGCTCTACGGAGCTTTCTTAGTCGATTCCGTACCTCGGCACACAACCCGTCGGTGAGGCCAGGCGCTCCCCCGAACCTTCCGGCAGGGCACGCATATTGAAAGGCGGCCACGCTTCCTGCTGGACAGTAGTGCCCCATCGCACAGAGACCGGAGCATTCTTGCGTGGAAAGGCCTGCCTCACCTGAATTTCGCGGAGAAAGAAAACAGCATCCCGATCACGACTACATTTCAACATACTGGCCACGAGCAAAATTCGATGTACGGCTAGATTGGCGTGTGTAAGAAGGACTAACGCGCCAGATTGGGCAATACGTTACCACGTTTTTTTTCATTCGCAGGGAAAGCTCTACGTATGATCGTGACGCTCGACTCCAGACAGGCTTTCCCACAGCCTCAAGCACAGCCTCAATCGGTGCGTACTGTGTCGTCTGAAGTTTCACAACTCTACAAATTGCTTGCCGGGGTATTTTTCACGCATCGGGGCATGCACGTATTTGATCGATTTGCGGGCTGTTCATCGCTCCTACGATGATGCATCGCACCTCCGTAGGTACCAGCAGGGCAAGGAATAGGCTCAGTCGATCCCTCTGGGCAATAGGATCCTTCAGGACAGACGTCGCTGCAGTTGGACGATGTCAACCCCTTCGTCGCTCCGAAAGTTCCTGAAGGGCACGGCCTTCGTCTTCCGCCCACGCAAAATGTCCCCGCTTCACACTGTGCTTCTCCAGACCTTGAGCGCAAACATGCCATCGAGCAAAGCAGGAAAGAGTTTGGCGCTATTTCATATACGAACAGACACAAAAGGTAGAGTGGTGCCCGATCGAAGGTTGACTGTTCCAACAGTACCCGTTTCAAACGCAACAATAATGTTAGCTGAAGCAAGTACTGAATTTTTACACGTTGTCTGCTGACTGTTCTCGAAGTAAATGTGCATACGGTTCCAATGCCGCCCGCACAGACATGACACCTCTGTGGGCTTCACTATCTCACGTCGGTTCGATATTCCGGCTGCCTATCCAGTGCGCTACGAACCAAATCGCCTTTTCCCTCCCATTGAACTCAAGAATGCGACTACTGCTTCCACACCCTCCGCAATATACTTGTAAGTGAAAAATACGCCGCGGTCCTCACCTCACACGGCGGGCTGTTGCTGTTTCTTGCTCGGCATCTGCAGAAGCCCCCGGCCGCGAACCGTCCGGGGTAACAGCGGTTGTGGTGTAGTATCCGCTCGTCACCGGAGTCCGCTGGCCGCTCCCTTTCGGGCAGTAGTACCTCATGGACCCACACTCGTTGCTGTCGGGAGCTACAGAACTGTGGCGTGCCGATGTTGGCAAGGAACGAGAGATAGAAATAGAAACGCGGAGGCAGGAAAGGACTGATAAGAGAAGAGCGATAGGCGTCTTCGTAGCTGATCGACAGACTCTTGGGCGAGGCTTGAGTAGGACTACATGCGATTCAAGGGTTAACTTTCAAGAGGGGATAAATCAATAGCGATCGTAGCCCAAGACAGCAATCTTCATCGTAATCTTTGTGTATGGTCCCTTACCCAGACAAGCAAAAGTAACCCGGTTGGCATTCCCCGCTGCAGGATTCGCCCGTCATTCCTGGCAAAGCGCCAAATGTGCCGGGTGGGCACCTAAGCGTGGGCGTGGCGGTACCATCTGGGCAGTAGAATCCCCGCGGGCACACCTATTGCCCCAGAGGACCCACAAACGTAGACGTGGTCGGAGCAAAGGAGGAGACTGTGGCTGGTTTTGGGAGCGGGCAATTTGCCATTTCTTCGCCAGCTGCAACGGAAACACGCAGGGAGACGGTGCTCGATGAAGATATTCGGTGGGCGTCGAAGGACGAGGGAAAGAGGCCAAAATACTGCTCGCCTAGGAAATACATTCTGCTGCTATAACGTTTTGGCGTACGCCTAGCCGTGCCCGTACTCCATACAGAACAAGGATTGGTCACCAATGAGGTTGGTGGCGACCTTAGTACTACGTACTCTCACCGAGCTTTCTAATTAAACCTCTCCGTATGAAATTGATACACATCCGGGGTCTACAGGTTCAGTCATATTGCCCTCGGATGCAGCATCTGCTTCCCCGATCCTCAGAATTTCACCAGCTTCAAGCAGTACTCATATACGACGCCTTAAAATTACATGTGATATTAAACTTACCCCCGGGCACCCCTTCCCAACCAGACCAGCGCTTTTCCCGTACGTGCCAGCGCGGCATGCCTCACATGCTCCGCTGTCAATACTCAAGAAGCTCCCTGCCGGGCAGCCGTCCTCCACCGCTTCCACAATAAAACCACCTTCGATCTTTGAATAAACAAATCCACCGCTTTCTGAAGCAACATCTCCGGCAGCAGCCCCCGCAGCCGTCGTCATCGCCGAAGCTGCACCGATGGGCACTCCTGCCGGACCCCAACACCCAACAAGGTACGGAAATGAGGGAGTCGCTCGGTACGTGTAGGCGTACACTCCGGCTGTACTCCCGCCGATATCATCGACCTGCTCCTCCCAGCGGCCATTGCACACGTCGAGCCCCCAAGCAAGTGACAAGGTCGAATCGTATGGCCCGTAGAGTCTTCGGCCGTCCATAGCAAATCCTAGCAGGGGAGACTCCCTCGGCGTTGAAGGCAAACCTTCCGGGTTTTCATCTTCGAATCCGAGCAAAACATTCGCTGCTTTGTATCCGCCCGCCTACAATACAAGTTTGAGGGGGTTGGAGAGGTCAGGTCCACTCTATCACCGCATCACTTGGGTAGACATTTTCGTAGTCGGTGGACAAACAGCAGAGGAGTTATCGGTAGCCCAATGACAAAGATTATTTTGTTCATGGTGAAACGCCATCATCGAGGAGTAGGAGGATGGCAATGCGGGCGCCTCCTCTGCTTACCTTACCTCGAGAACAGCGGCAGAAGTCTCTCCGTGCAGACATGGAGGCATGACGCGGTACCCGTACGCCCCGGTTTTGGCCTGAAGCGAGCCGGCGCACTCGTCAAAAAGGGTTTCGTTCTCTGCCACCTTCCCCGGTAGCGGATTCACTGTATCAGCACCAGTTGCTGTGAGCGGAGAAAAGAACGGCACGCCGTTGAGCGCCATCCCTATCGGGCGATCCTCCCTAGCCGCGTTGGTAAGGAACTCCGTAGGGTCCACATCTCGACTGAGAGCTATTTGAGCGTCTATCCCGTCCTCGTCGGAAGTCAGTGGTATTGTCAAGTCCCACCGTTGCTCTTTCACGAGATGGGCCCACGGCTCATCCCCTTGCCCGTAGGAGTGTACGGGGATGCCGGAGGAAACCAAGCGCATGAACCAACTCCCCTGACGATCCCAGTCTGCTAATCAAACGAACCGCAGGTACAGCAGTCAGCATAGTCTACAGGTGATGTTCATGGAGGGTCGGGAAAGGATACAGACTACATACATGCAATCCAACTCTCTACAGCTGCACGTGCTTCATATACCGCCTATTTAATAAGGAATTCAACACATCGGGGATAATATCATCTCACTCGCACCTTGATAACAGGTGGCTACCACGAGCGTTTTATCGAAAAGGTCGGCGGGACACGCTGGCCGTGTGCCCAACTCGACAAAGCCATCTGACGACGAAGAAATTATGCTATTAGTGAACGCCGACCCAGGTAATACTGTTGACAAAACCACGAAAACCCCAAGATCCATCCTTCCAAATCAATCGCGTGCTCCCCGCGGCACGGAACATGCCATGCGTTATGTCGATGAGCACACAGACAGGCACGTGCATGCGGCGAAACACCCCACGCCCCACGCTCAGCGAACAGGCACTTCGATGTGCCGCAGAACCAGCAACACGCCGCCTCGTTTGAAACCCATCTGGCGCCTGCCGCCTGCTGCTGTCTGCCAACGTGCACTTACCCCTGCCGACTCCCTTTTGCCGCTGTCAATCAAGGACGTACCAGGTATGGCAAGGATCCGTCGAGCATTGCGCAACTTCTCCCCCTTGGCAAGACCGGGTTCATGTTTTCTCGTGATCATGCATGCGATTTTGGGGACGTCAACAGCCCATGCCCAACATCATGCGTCTACAGCAGTACCCATGCATTGCTCTTTTGCAGTTGGATGGAAACTTCAAAGCGCTCGGCATATAACATGAACGGTAATCTTGACGCCGGCCGGGTGCGGCTGGTTGGTTTGTCATTGGGGTTACTGGACAGAGAAGTGCGTCCTTTCGTAGCCCCTTTTATCGCACCCTTCGTGCAGGATTTGTTTGTCCCTCCCAACTTCCATACCCGCCGCGCAGGTTGAACTTGCGGTGGGACAGGCACCACCAAAACCAAAAGTCCATGGCGTGCTGCCGATGTATCGACGTATCCCTGTTGTACAAGAAGGAACTACAGCAATTCTGTCCATGCCTCATGCGTGCATCAGTAGACTAGTCCTGTACAGCGGTACGGTGTGTGGATGTGCTTGTATGCATGGTAGACACTGAAGATTGTGCGCACGTCAGGTTTGTCCAAGAAAATAATTACTACTGTACACACACAGAAAGACTACCAATTCGTTTTTGGCTGCCGTTCCTCGGGCTTTCTTGCTTTCTTCACCTGAACGTGTGGGCATGTGTTTTGCTCCCGCGTTGAACCATCTGGCAGGTGTTCCAGTACCACTGCTGCTCAAGCCGCAGTATTTCTCCTACCCGTGGGTGCAGACGCTGCGTATCAGATTCTCACGCTCTCTATTTACCCAATGTTCGCGCTGCCCACGTTTGCCTCGTTCCGGCGCAGTAACAGCAGCAGCCGCGTAGTAACAGAAGCATCAGAAGCATCATGAGGTCAACCTGCGTCATCGCCGCCGCCGCGGCCCTCTCTTGCGCGGATGCGTTCTGCTTCTCCCCGGCGCGCATGTCGGGCGACGTGCTGGCACCGTTCCAAGCCGGCAAGGCCCTCAAGGTGCAAGAAGTAAAACTCATACATTAACAACGGTGGTGTCTTTCTTTCTGCTGCACTGCTGCGGGGCATTCGAACGGGCAGTCTTCTGTCACATCTTGATGTATGATACGAAAAGAAATGTCACTCGAGAGTTGCGTGTCGAGAAACGGCTGTGCAAGTACCTCCTGCCCGACACCCCATGATAGACAGCACCTGGTGGAGCGCTCTTTACCCCGTAGTATTTTAGTGCCCCAAGGACCAAAACAAAAACTCGTCGGCAAGACGGCAAATAATTGTTTGCTTTGATAGATATTGAACGTCGGTTTTCACCCTACGAACCTTGTTTGCGGCCTACGCCACGTATTTATCGAGTGAGACTGTTTCGGTGATGTATTAACTTCACGAGAGGTAGACGACCGTCCTTCACACGGACGAAAGAGGGAGTGCCCCACAGAGCAGCTCCAACAGCAAGGAGGGCCCCCGTGAATCATCGCGGTGCCCCCTACCAAACAGCAATCTCACCAATCTGCGTGACACCAAATCATGCAGCACATATATCCAACACCAATGTTCGCAGACCCACAAACAAACGTTTCGTTTCGCAGGTGATTTCCGGGCTGAACAAGTTCGATGCCGACCTCGTGTCCAAGGTTGCCCGGGCGGCCGCCGCCGGCGGGGGCACCCACATCGACATCGCGTGCGACCCGGACCTCGTGCGTGCGGCCAAGGCTGTGTCCAACGTGCCGGTGAGACAGGGGGGAGGGAATCAGTAGCGCCTTCGCGAGGGCATTAAGCTTGGTTTTAGTAGGAGGGGAGGGGGGGTTGGGAATGGGGATAGGGATACGAGACTCCCCTCTCTATTTCATGTACTAAGAATATAATCCTCGCCAAGGCGGCCCAACAAAGGAGGGGGTGTTGTTGACGATATCGTAGGTGTGCAAGGTACAGTTTTTCAAAGTTTGGTGCATCCGATGTAAGGGGCCCCACGGTCTTGATTCAGTACGTGGAGACGGGCAAACACTAGGTCAAACCTTTATTGTGGGAGTAAGAGATTCGTATTCTGTTTCAATGCGAGGTTGTCGATGAAGTGCCCTCCTGATGGCACCTACCCACTTCTTAAATGGCAATGTAAATCCGTCCAATAGGTTGAGAGATTTTTTGGCACGTGTGGTATGGAGGCCTCTCACTTCATATTGCGGACTCTTTTCATAGAGCTACGTCCTTTGTTGCGGAGGGCAAGCGTGATGATCGGTCTATTTCGGAATTCTGGCGTACGTATAGCAAGCACTCGAGAAGTACGCCCCGCTCCGCCCCCCCCCCTGCAGACGCCCAATGCCGAACAACAGAGCGACTTGAGTCTCTCTTACTGACCGCGTTTGAACAACAAACCCTGCTTTCGAACCCCACCGGCTGCCAAAGAGAAGGAGGCGACACCCTACCTGGATTGAGCTGAGCGTGTCCGTGTTTCCTTGCCCGTTTTCGTGTTTTTGATTTCGTGCTAGGTATGCGTGTCTGCGGTTGACCCCGAGTTGTTCCCCGCGTGCGTCGACGCCGGCGCGGAGATGGTGGAGCTCGGAAACTTCGACTGCTTCTACGATCAGGTACGTCATCTGAACGATTGATCACCTGTTAAAGGTAGGCGTTGTCCATATGCTCTGCCCTTGTTGGGCCGCCTTTCTTTCTGGGTGCACAAGCGGGTAATACGCTTGCGTGAGAGCCAACAGAAAGCTGGCGCGGGGGTTGAGGGTCAGCCGTTGCTGTCGCGGGTAGCATCATTTTTTACCATGATGCAACTTGTTTGTGTTTCCGACAACCTCAGGGACTCACCTTTTCGGCGGAGGACGTGCTCGAGATGACCCGCAAGACAAGGGCGCTGCTTCCGACCACCCCTCTCTCGGTCACCGTGCCGCACACCCTCGATCTCGATGACCAGGTGAATGACGCGCATCATTGTAGGCGTGTAAGTGTGTAGACTGCCGCGTGGTTTGTACGATAGTTTTGGGTTCACAGGTCTGGGTCGCAATTTGTGCCCTTGGGATTGGTTTGAAGAGGAACGTAAGAGTTGCTGGCAGAGAGGAGACGAGAGCACTTTGCAAGCCAACGCACGTCGCGCTAGGTCTGTATCGGCATGCGCTTGTACGTAGCGCCCGAGAACCAGCACCTCTGGACATGCGGTACTGGGATACACGAACATTTGATCGACATTGTGTGCAAAAGGGGGGTAGCTTATCGGCAGAACCTGCCGAGCGAGATCCGTAAGCACCGTGGGCGACAGAATCAAGCAAAACGAAAGGTTGTCGAGCATAGATCGAAGAAACACCAACCTGTGTGTTTTCATCGCTCCCAGCATCTATCCACCGGACGGAGTTCCGATCCAGGGTTAGGGTTAGAGAAAGTTCCTCTGCGATGCATGCGTCCAGTTTTATTGCGAGAATTTCTCAGCAAACCGCCACCGCCATCCCTTGTCGCAACGAAAAACCTCCAAAACATCTGTTAGATGTGCGATCAACCTGTCGTGAGGCATGCATATGGCTTGGTGCATCAACCGCTGTTGCCGCCCTGTAACAACCACACTACGTGCGCGCTTGTATGCCCTCGCTCCCTCGCTCCCTCCCAACGGTGTCGAAAAACAGGTGGACTTGGCGGTGGAGCTGGAGGGTCTCGGTGTAGACGTCATCCAGACAGAGGGAAAGTTCAGCCTCGACCCATCCAAGTGAGTGCAAGCGGGCTGTCAGACTGGCATCTGACACGTTTTTTCGTGGATGGAGTGGAAAGACCGGAGGCGGGAATTGCTGCGTTGAGAATAAAATCTTGTTGCAGATCGTAGGTGTGGAAAGTCCTGAGGCGGGAGTTGCTGTGTTAAGTTTAGCATCTTGTTGCAGATCGAACGTACTTCTTTTTCTTGCGCCACGGGGAGGTGGTGTACACGTCAGAGGTAGATATATACAGCACGAGCAGATTAATGTTCGTCGTTTCGAAGCTCCACAGCGTTGCTATCCGTTTCGAAAGAAGGCACCGAGGTCATCCATGTCGGGACAAGTTGTACTCGCCCTTTTTCTTGCCGTGCATCCCTCCGCGTATCTCTGCTGTGTTGGGAGAGTGCTACCCTTTTGTACCCTTCAAATAAGTTGTTTCTGCCGATTCCGTCAGGGGTGGGATCCAGGGAGCGATCGAGCGCGCCGCCCCTACTCTGGCAGCCGCCCACGCCATCTCCAAGGCCGTGTCCATCCCGGTCATGGCCGCCTCCGGCCTCAGTGACGTCACCGCGCCCATGGCATTGGCAGCAGGGGCTCGTGGAGTTGGCGTTGGGTCCGCGGGTGAGGTGCAGGTAGTTGTAGCACGGAGCCATCGAAGGCCTACATGATCTGTGGTCCTGATTTTTGTTGTGGAACGTCCTGGTTCCGCCAAAGATGCTGTTGGGTGCGCGAATGTGTTCGTGGTATATAACGCCCCCGTGGCACACGGTGTTCTGAGTCCCTGGTGGTAGGTGGGGTGCCAAGAGTTTTCGTTTGGCGCCGCACGCGGCACCAGGGCGCTACTATTGTATTCCTGCGGCAACGTGAATCATACGCATACCACCATCAGTTCCGCGACCTGGAGCTTGGCTATTTCCGGGAACAAACATTTTTCCCTCCCTCTTTTTTTTCTCTCTCTCCATCGTTCCCTGCTTGTGCCACGCCAGTCAACAAGCTCAACAGCGAGATCGGAATGGTGGCTGTGGTACGGGCAATCGCGTCTGCCATGGGGCTGCCCAAGCCGTCGGCGGTAGAAGCGCCGGTTTCTGCGGGAAAGGCCACGGCCTAGACTCACCCTTTAGTCGTCAATAGCTTACAAATTTCGTAGTGTCTTTCACGTGACATGACATGGCAGCTGAGAAGCATGCCCTAGTAATGGGGGTGCGGCTACGGGCTATAAGACGGTCAAATTTTGCCACTGCCTCGGAGTGTCGCCGCTATTTCTCCACGATATTGAGGAATCAGGGCGGGGGGGGGATGGCACATGGATGCCCCCCGCCAATCGCGCATGTATAGTTGGTTGGCGCGTGGGAATTCTGTGCGGTTGCTTTAATTTTGTAGATGGGTTATTCGTGGTGATTTGATTTAGGTAGGATTGACGGCAAGAACTTCTTTTGCGGTGTTTTCGGTGACCGGGGGGGGGGGCGGTGATGGTGTCAATTGCTGCTGTTGTTTTCTTGCGGAGCCTTGTGCATTTACTCGATGGTATTGAAGCCAAGGGAGCCATTGGCATGTGTCTGTTGTTGTCACCACCGCATGATCTGGAAACGAAGGACGGACAAAGATCAAAATTGATTGGTTTAATAGGTAGATCTGTTACCTATAGACTAGGTCAGATCTACGGAGTCAGAGCGCCATAAAAGACGTATGCATGTATCTAGATACCAACACTTTCTGTTGTCCGTTTACATGTTTTAGCTGAGAGGGGCAGCGTATGCCGAATAACTACATGCCTAACCGGCATAGAGTTAGCAACTGCAGCAGCGTCCCTATCAGACCAGGAGAGAAGAGAGTGAGACTAAGAACCAGAGGAGGGAGCAGAGGGCAGAGGACGGAAGGGCGCGGAATATGTACCGGAGAACCCCCCCCCCCCCTCTCTTTTTTGTTTTCGTTCGCCAAGTAGGGGGTGAGCGGGGGTGATTTTCTGCGTCCCCCCCCCGTCGGCAAAGCAGTGACTTCGCTGTTCGTCCAAACGAAACACACACCAACACCGCCGCAACCCCTCCCCAGCATCATCATGCTTCGAACACTTACAGCTGCAGTGGCACCTGTGCGGAGGTGAGTCAGAATCGTTGAGCGTGGCTGCATACGCTGCACGAAAACGTTGCGATCGAGAGATGCTACGGAGAACACACACACACGGGACGACGACGACGTTGTGCTGCGGAACATGCTCGGAAGTGCTGCGTTGCTTCGTCTCTCTCGTTGCCACCTGACACAGGCACGCTAGGGTGCTACTTGAGGTGTTCGCTGGGTGAGATACTGCTGTGCTGCAGTGTGTGGACTTAACCCGTCGTCCCGACTGCACCTTGTGGACTACGTGGCACAAACACGCTTCTTTCGACATGTTCCCCTCGGAAAAGGGTGATGAGGCACACCTGCAAAGCGCAAACCTCCCCACACCCACCATGGCCTCCCTCTGTCATCCTTCCTCGGAACCATGTTCAACCACGAATTTCGTCCAGGCATCCCTTTGTCTTGTCTGGTTGCGGTTTTAGCGCGGGCCATGGTTTTTGTGCCCGTCGAGCTTTGTAGCAATGCTGTAAAAGCGTGTCGCGCGTCGCTTGCTACTCTCTCGTGCCAGCAGGGCTGTGCTGCAGCAGCAGCGGCCAGGAGCAGGAGTAGCAGCAGCAGCAGCGGCAAGAGCAATGTCGACCGAAAAGCAGATCACGGTGCCCTTCACGAAGGACATCGACACGCACAACCGTGAGTTCGTCCAAGTTTTTTCACGGGAGAATTTTTGGTCGGCAATGCATCGTGTGTGCTGTAATACTTTCATCGTGCGGAAACCAGTAGAAACCAGTAGAACCGACTTTACACTGTTACCCCGTGTACTCTGTACCTCTTTCTTCGGAGACGTGATCAGTGACTTACAGCACTAGCGGTATACATGCGTGATGACCTAGAGGCACGACAGATTCGTAGTATTCATGTTCATGTGTTTGGAATTCACGGCTGAGTGCAAACACCAAGCTGTGGTAACGGCGCGATGGTTATGCACAAGGTCCTTCCGGGCCGCATTTGGATCTCCAAGAATCAAGATGCGTTGCTGCAGGCGGGCTGAGAGTCCCACCGCCGTGCACAATTATCAACGGCCTGGTCAATCACGGCCGGCCTGCGGCAATTCTGATGTCATTGGTGGTACTGCTTCCGTCAAACCGAAGCGCAAGGCTGCAATAGTAGCATGTGGCGCAGTGCCCGTGCTTGGTTAGAGGCCGCTACAAGCCTAGCCTTACGAGTAAGAGATCGTCTCAATTGTGTAAATAGTGTGCATAGCGTGGTGGTAGTATGATACATCCCAGTACCTATTTTCAAGAATTGTGCGGCGCGATTGCGTTCTCGATGCTAACCTGCTGTCTTGTGTTCAACTGCATATTCTTGCTGCTGTCGCAATTGGCTCCAGTGCCCGTATCGTTGCCGACGGAAGCGACTACGAACCGCGAGGAACTCATGTCGTACTTCAAGCTCATGTACACCATGCGCCGCATGGAGATCACGTGCGACACCGAGTACAAGGTAAAAGATCCCCCCCACCCTTCGATTCCGCAGACACAAAATGTTGTCGGTGAATCTCCTGTCATGTAACACGAGTCTGAAGATAAGAAGACGGCTCTGGGTTGTATTGGCCGGCCTGGTTCATTTTTGTGTAGATTATCAGCAGGCTATGTATAGTGAGGGTTGGTCGTGGATCTGTATCCCCCCCCCCCCCCCCCCCCCTTTTTTCCCCCCCCCCTTTTTTTTTCCC